AAATGCTGCTCTGTGACTTTCAGGTCGACTGTACTGGTTTCCTGAAGCCTGGCAGTGGTTACAACGTCCCCTGCACCATGGAGTACTCCCCCATCTGCGGCACCAATGGCATCTCCTACAGGAACAAGTGCCAGTTCTGTACTGCTGTGGCGTAAGTGAAGGGCCCAGGGCAGGGCAGGGTTTCTGGATCAGTATTGCTCTTTTTGGCATTTGGAGCATAAAGGGGCAGTTTGACTCATGGAGCAGCTGCACTGTGCTCATTCATTCTCCACTTGCTTTACCCACAAAGGAGCGGCCTGGAAGTGGACCTGAGGAGCTACGGAGAGTGCTACCAGGTAAAGCCAGAAATCTGCACTCTTAACTGCTGTGACATTTTGCAACACAAATTCATGGCTGAGTAATAGAAATGCCTCCGCTGTCCTGGTGCATTTGGCATGGGAATAGGACTTGAGGAAAATAGTTATGCCAGGGTCAACAGGTATGGAACCTAATCCATGGCTGAGATATTTGGTCCCCTCTCTGATCTGGGAACAGCAGGCAGAAGGTGCTGAGACCTTCATTTACTGCGAAACTGGATGAGCAACAGACGCTGCATCATTGATGCAGGAGCATTAATAATAGCAGTGATTCCCTGGGTGGGAGAACTTAGTGCACTGGGGCTTGTGACCACCCCCTTTCTGTCCACTTGCCTCTGCTTGTCTGCTGAACCAGAGCAGCCAGTGGGAGAGCCAGCCTGGAAATACCAGCATGGTCATTCCACTACTCATAGTAATATTTGTTAGACTTTTTTTTGCCTCCACCATCTCCCTGCTTCAGGTTGTTCCAGGCAGGCACATTCTCAGAGTCTGCAGAATTGCTGGGACAACAGAGCCCTGCTCCTGAAAAGCGCTTTCATGCTTTGCCACATCACAAAATATTAAACAAACACAAAGCACTTATGTAGGAAAATACGGGGAACAGAAGTTTTAAACCCTGTTTTTTGTTCCATTAGCAATCTGTAAACATCGACTGCAGCGCTTTCCAGCAGAAGGGCGGCAACCTCGCCTGCACCTCCGAGTACACCCCCATCTGCGGCTCCGACGGCAGGACTTACGGGAACAAGTGCCAGTTCTGCAACGCTGTCTCGTGAGTACAGAGCTCACCATGTGGCCATTGAGCCAGAGGAGCTCCCATGCAGCTGTGGCAGCTGGTGGGGAAGCCCCAGAGCTCCCGTTATCTCCCATCCCTACCCCATGCTCCTCTCCCAACACTCACTCCTCTGCCACCCCCCAGGCGCCGCAGATCCTAAGCCTGAGTGAGTCTTCTCCTCCTCCCCTTGCAATTAAAAGCAGATCCCCGCTTGCAGGCTCATAGCATTGCTGACTGCCTCCCTGCCAGGGTGATTGAAAGTGTGACCGTAGGAGGTGTCCAAAATTATGGGGTTTGTCCCAAATCTCTTCAACGTATGAAAGCGTGTAACTTGAGGAATCTGAAAAGAGACAAAACATTAAGCAAAGTACTCTATGACTTGGAGAGCACAAGGGCATTTGGCTTATTTGGGTAAAGTCAGGCTATAAAGATGAGATCCATGTCTCTAATTTTGGTCTCCCTCTCTCTCTCTTCAGACGCAGCCTTGGAGGTCTGTTCGTCAGGCACCAGGGCGAATGCTAAGTGCTGGAGCTGGACCCTTCAACATGACATTTCCCTCACAAATTCTTCAATCAAACATGCTCTTCTTTGCTCCCTCAAATGTTATGCACCAGTCTCTGCTTTGATTGATCAATAAATTAAATGCAGCCACAATCTTTGCCATGGAACGGTTTTTGATTTTGGTTTTGTTTTCCAGGCAGGGTAATGGTCTTCAGGCTTTTTGGGTACTTTTCTGCCAGGGAGGAGAAGTGGTGAAATAACCACAATAAAGAGCAAAACACCAGCCCAAGCCCTCAAGAGAGAATGTCACTCTGTAGCAAACCATCAGAAAGGCTATAAAATAGCACATCTTTGAATTTAATTTTGAAGTCTTGCAGAGTGTAAATGGATTTGTCTTTGTCACAGTGCTGGAACTTGGAGGAACTGTTCCTTTCTGGGGCCTTGGCCTGGTGGGATGGTGCTGGGGAAGTGTGACAGGGGGTGTGATCAGCTTTATCTGGTCACACCTGGACAAGGGGCAGGTCAGGTGGTGCCTTATAAAAAGGAGGTTTATGGCAAAGGGAGGAGGTCTCTCACGGGGAAGAAAATTAGGAACTGCTGCTTCCTTGAAGGGTGTGTCCATTGAGACTGTGCCCATCAGCAGAAAATTGCAGCAAGCTATGCAAGGCTGTAATGAGCCTAATGAGAACCTGAGGAGAAATTAGACTGGGCTCAGGCTTTCAGCTTCTTGGAGGAGAGATCTAAAAAGCTGTACTGATGGTATGTGAGGCAGAGGTGAGGCAGAGGACCCTTCAGGAAAAGGTCTTGGGTTTTCTAACTCCACGAAAGAAGGGCAAGATGTGCTAGCAGCTCGAATGTGTTTTTTATCTGGGGAAAAAAGGTGTGAAGATAACATCTTTGTGGGAACCTGAAGCGTGCACTGCAGGAAAAATGACATATATGACTGTTGGTGATGATCTGCCATCTTTTTGGGTGAGTCAAGGAGTTAATATGCAAACAGCACAAGCAAAAAAAGTCCCAAGTGCCATGGCTCACACACTCCCTTCCTCATCCTTTCTCCACCTCCCATTCTCTTGTTATGTAAAAGAACACCTGCTGCTAAGGCTGATATTTAGGACAAAATCTGTGAGTTTCAAGACACTTCTTTTGATCTTGTTTCCTGAAGCAGATAATTTCTTGACCAAGGATTTTGTAGGTGCTCCCCACCAGAAGAAGAGGCTTGTCCTTCCCTGCAACCAGCACAGACAGCAGGAAGAAGAATAGAAATTATTTTTGGGGATTTTTTTGGTGTTACGACAGGTAATATAAATCACATCGTACCTTTGTGCCTGCTTCTAAGAAAAGGGAGAGAAATTGGAGAGTCACAAGAGTCCTCAGTAGTTACCTGCTTGTGTGTCTGAGAAAACAGTTAAGGAACAATAAAGTAGCCAGTTTGGATGCGTTTGTTGAATTGTTTTATAATTCCTTGTTGGACAAGAAGTTCACATAGTGGCCACAGACCAGTGAAGTTCTGGCCATAGCAGGAAATTGTCTTCAATGGCAAGATCTTATGGTGAGCCTCCTCTTCAGAGGTAGTTTGTGCCTGAGGAAGTCAGATACCTGCTCAGAAGGCTTTGGAAAAGCCCAAAGAGTTCACCTGCAGCAAAATGGGGCCAAATGGTGAATATGTGGCCATCTCATAAGTCTCTAGCAAGAACTTTAGAGGATGGAAAAGTTTGTAGCATTTAAGTCTAAAAAGTGGCCAGCACAGGTTAGGACTCAGCTTGACACCATCAAGACTCTGCCCAGCCACCCCTTAGGCTGCACAGCGAGGTCCAGGTGCCTTTCTTCTATCCCTGAAAGGGACAGCATTTTGCCACCAGGTCACCTTTGATCCTGATGTTTTCCCCATCCCAGCCTACTGCATTCTTGCAAAATCTGCCACCTCTTCTTTGAAGCAGACCAACCCACTCTGTGGCCCAGTTGTACAGCCTGGGCCCTTGTTTGCTTTTAAATTGAGATGTTTTGTTACCAAACTCGAGAGGACATCCAGAGCACGGTCAGGATTGAGGGGAGCAAGAGGCACAAGTGGTCCTGAAGAACACATTGGGAAAGGGCCTTTCCTTGCCAATCCTAGGAGTCACAAAGAAGTGGAAACGGGCAGTAACAATTGGTAATTCAGCCTTTTCCTCTGCTCAGCCCGGAAGGGGTTGGTTTGCTGAGGCTGGAGCCAGCCCAGCTGTGCTGCAGCAACCAAAACATTATTTGGGCAGATAAGGGGCTGAGGCATCGAGGCTGTGGTCACGAGCGGTGACGTCTGAAACCTGAAAAGGCAAACAGGGAGTGCTGCGAGTGGCAGAACTGAGCGTGGCTGAGAACGGCGCTGTGGCTGACGGGTTTGATAACTAAATTACATGAGAGGCTGCGTCGTGAGATCACCCTTAATAGACAGCCCAGGATTCGCCTGTCACTCACGGTTTCTCTGCCACTGCGTGGATTTTAAGATGTCTGGCAAGCTGCAAACTGAGATGCTTCCCCAGATGTAGGGCACCCACAGCATTGCTCTCCTGCGGAAACTGGCTGGGGATGCTGGTAGCATCTTTCCTCTTCTTCTCTTGCTAGAGAAAAGGTATAAAAATGTGATCGTTATTTTTAATTTTTTTTCCACTCCTGTGTAAAATCTGGCTGCAACTAGTTGTGTATTCAGAATTCACTGGGGGAACTGAAACCTAGATATATCTACACATATTTGTCTCCTAAGCCTTGCCTCCTCAGGAAAACATACTAAAATTTAGGCTTATTCTTATCTGGAGAGGTGTTTGGTGTGCCTGAACACAAATCCTTGCACAGCCTCAGCTGGAAATAGAGCTTGAATCTGCCAATTCCCCATCAAATTCCCATCACTGCCACTTGCGGTGGGAGCAGAGCCCTAACATATGTTTGTGAATGTGAGAAACTGGAAAAACATTGACAGCTAGAGTTTAAATAGTTCAGGGAGGAGAGTCAGCAGTCCTATCTGGGACTGTGCACACAGCGAGGAGAGCATGTCACAGCCCAGCGCTTCTCCACCCCAACTCCACAAATTTAGAACCATCCTCAAAAATAGCCGGGGAACAACGTATAATTGGTTTCACAGACAACACATTCTCATGCTGTGATTTATTTCGTAACGTCTAGTGAGTGTCATCACGCCGCACTCAGAGCCTCTCGGAGAGAGCCCAGAGAATGAAAATTACCAGCTTCCCTGATGAATCACTGCTTTGAAAATTCACCCTTGTGAGAATCCTGTGACTATTTAGAAAAAAAAAAAAAATAATTACGTTACAAGGACGTCTATCACTCATATAATTATCCCTTTCTAGGTTTGATGTGGACAGGGCAGCATTCCTTAAAGCACCATAAACTGGCCAGGACCAATAATGGCTTTAGAAACCAAGTGGAGAAGTTCTCACAATTAAGGTGGGGAATGAGGACAGCTATGGACAGGCACATAAATACATAGAAAGGCAGCTCTGTGTGCACACTGTGGGCTCTGGGACTGAGACAACACCTCCTGCTCCGACCTTGGCTTGGGCTAAAGAGCTTCCTGCAGCATGAGGGCTACAGGTGCCTTAGTGCTTCTCAGCCTGCTGCTGCTCTCTTTCTTCACGGGTAAGTGATCTTTTCCCTAGCCTAGAAAAGAAAATCAAACACCAGAACATCTCCTGACAACAAATTTTGGACAGTCTTGATCGCTGGCTGACAGGCTTGAAGATAAAACTGAGCAATTAGAAAATATCTGCAGGACTTGCTCACTCATATGACATATTTCCACTTCTCGTGTGCCTCTGCAGTGGATAATGTAGTGGACGTGTCACTGGGAGACAGAGTGAGCAAATTCTGAGTACTTCTTCAGCAAATATACCAAAGCAGAATGTAATTATGAATTTTTGGTACAAGTGCTCACTGGAGAGTTTTGCTGAACCAGTTAGAGAAGAAACTCGCTCACCTCCAGGTCATCTGCTCTTGTTTTGATCCTAAGCATCTCGGTACTTGGTGTTTTCCTTGGAGATGTGGAGATGTAATTAGATGAAAGTTTCAGCTTTCGTTGATGTTGCAGAGAAAAGCTTGAAAATTAAATTCAAATGTCCTCAAGGAGTCAGAACAAAGAGGGCAAATTAAAAGGATCCAGCAACCATTTATCTGGAGATTTACACATTCTGTGATGATGTGGGGAAGCTGAGTGATGATTTTTGAACCTATAGATCATGTCAGTGTTATCACTTGCTTGAGTCCAGCTGACCCAGCTCTGCAAGGTCTGTGGCAACAGTTATTGAAGAATATGTGGAACAAGATATATTTATACTTGTTTTTCTGTGAATAATTTGAATAAAGGAGTCACTTGAGAAAATGGCAAGCTGTACATGGAGAAGAGGTGAATTGCTTTGTACACATTATTCATTATGAAATATTCATCTGTCTCTAATTGAGTCTTAATTGGGACTGGGTTCCATCAGAAGGCTGATTCTTCCTTCCAAGGCCGGGCAGAATAGCAGCAAACCCTGTGATCTCCAGTAAAATAAACAGATGTCAAGAGGCATCATCACAAATTCTTCTGTAGCTGCATGTAATATTTATAAAAAATATTTAATGAGCTGTTTTGTAAATAATATGCAGATAGCCATAGCAGTGCCTTCAACATTACAGCAGCCTAGCAAAACCTGAAGACAGGGTAGATGTGCCAGCAACAGGAAAAAACACCAAAGGACAACAGAAATAGCAAAAGAAGTAGGAAGGCTTGATGGATGAGGGTTGAGCTGACTGAAGGCTGGGTGTCCCTCATCCACTGGAGAGGGATGAGTGTAGGACACGGTCCTTCCCCTCCTGCCAGAGCCACCTGAGCAGCACCACAGCTGGCAGTGACCCCGCTGACCAGCAGCTACAGCCTCACCAAATGCTGGGTATTGATCCCACTCTGCTGTGACCCAGATTCTGCAGCTCTGCATTCAACCCACCCTGGAGTGTCAGCTCCCCTTTAGAGACATGACAGGGTCGCCCCATTTCACAGCTCTGACTCAACCTACACTCCTGCCTGCCGGCTTTGCCAAGAAGAAACAAAAAGAGCATGGACTGATGAGCCCCAACCCAGAGCCTGTGGTTACAGGGGATTTTGGTGCTGGTTCTGACCGGTGCTGCCTGTTCTGCTGTCACCCCATGACGTCTCTTTGTATCTCACCCAGGCTGAGCCTGTCCTGGGAGGGTGTCTGGGCTGTGCTGAGCATGGCTTGAACCCAACCATGGGATCTCCTGCTCCAGGGTCCCCTCCTGTCAGCAGCAGCAGCCACGTGCATTGTTCAGAGGTGCAGGAGCCTAAAAGCCTTAAAAGCCACCATGGGTTTCAAATCTCTGGGAGTGTGGTTCCACATCTGATATGGCAGCTTGCTTCCCCGGGAGTGGCTGCCTTCCAGGAGATTGGGTTATGCGTCTGAGGTGTAGTTAGCAGCTGAATGAATGATTACATGGTATTTTAGTAGCATTTTTCAAAATAGGAAAATACTGAAAAGCAATTCAGATAATGTATTTCCTGCCCCCTCTTCCCCCGTGAGGGATGACGGAGTAGGAAAAACCTGGAGTATGTTTCACTGTAGTTTGCATAACATGTTTGTGAATTTAATTCAGACTTTATCAGAAAGTAATGCTGACGTGTAAAATCTGTCTGGGTTTTATTTGCCTTTTTTTTTTTTTTTTTCCCTTTTAGTTCCAGATGTAGCAGGTCAAGAGATTGAAGAGGTTAGTGCTGCTGTTTCTGCTTGCTGAATCTGCATTTAATCAAACCATGGAATCATTACTGGTGGAAAAGACCCCCAAGACCACCGAATCCAAGATTTGACTGAACACCACTTTGTCAACTAAACCACAGCACGGAGTGCCACATCCAGTCATGGCATTTCACTTTGGAGAAATGTTTTTATAACCAAAATCTTGGTGCTGGGTAAACAGTTTTTTAATGTCTGCTGGGAGCAGGTGGGTCCTTCCAAGTATTCCCAGTGCTGGGGAGTTCACTTCTACCTGGGGAATGTTGTGTGGCCATGTTAGCAGGTAGAGCAGGGAAATAAATGGTTGATTTAGCAAAAGTTTATGTACTGCACCACTTTTGACTTGGATTCACTATACAATCTTCTCATGAAGCAAACGGATTATTGAGTGTCCTATTCTCCCAAATTTAGTTCATCCCTGGGATTTGTAGAGAGGCAAAATACCTGTACACTTCCTGGGCATAATTTTTAATTGCCAGGGATTTCCCTATTGTTTCTCCCTCCTTCCTCTGGGAAAGCAGGAGCTTAGCAAGCACCAAACTGAGTGCAGGGTTTCGCAAGACACCTGAAGTCATGCAGCAGGGAGGGAGCCCAGCTCAGAGTGCCTGACAGAGCATCAGTGCTGACTCTTCCCGTGCATGCCTAGGCTAATCCACTCCTATTGTTGGGAGATCAAGACTTCTCCCAGGTGACTACAATTTCCTTCCTCAAACATGGGGCCAAAATTCCCCTGAAACGCTGCTTCTGTTCATTTCTGAAAGGGCTTTTTCTGTCAGAAAAGAGACAGTGTCAGAACTTGTCAGAAAAAGCTTTACGTTAATGACCTTGGGTCCAATTTGGAAAGTGAAACAAAGAGTATGGAGGTCCTGAAAGGCTGTTTTTTTTTTTTTTTAATTATTATTCCTTGTGCAGATCTGTAGGGAGTTCCTAAACAGAAGTGTGTACTGCACAAGGGAGTCCAACCCTCACTGCGGCACGGATGGCGTCACGTATGGGAACAAGTGTGCCTTCTGCAAGGCAGTGCTGTAAGTGACACTGGGGGCACTGAAATAGCAGGGTTTGCCTTCATTTCCATGGATCTAGTGGTGCTCTTCATGGGGGGGAAGCCCTGTATCCAGGCTGCCCCTCTTGTATGGACCAGCCTCTGAACCGTGCCAAGAGGAATGTTTCCTCCTTGGAGCAGAGCTGTGTGCCACAAGTTAATTTTAATTCATTTCTGGGCGTTGCAGGCTGCTGGTTGCCATGCTGAGAGGCAGCACAGGGCCTGGGAAGCAAATGCATCCTGCCTGTACCTTCCACAAGCACTAAATTGATGCACAATTCCCACTGTGTGCCACAGGCTGCAGCTCTCACTGCCCACACTCCTGGGTACTGAGAAGTGCTGGAGGAATGTGGGAGCTGAGCCATGCCAAGTTATTCCTGAAAAGTCTGAATGAACTTTGTGGAACAAGACACAAGATCTCAGAGGAAGAACAGGATGTCTCTCCTTTTCCTAAGCTCTGTCACCTTTTAAAGGAGATGCCATCCCTGATGGATGGAATGTGCTTGCAAAATGTTTTTGCCTTAGCAATCCTTACATTTAGTGTGCAGCCAAGGCTGCCTTATCCTAGGGCAAATCAGAGAAGAACAAGGAGAGAAGAAAATAGTTGGGTGTTCCTTGTGAGGTACCAGGGACATGCTCTGGCACAGGTCAGACCTGTTGGGGTGAGTGAGCTCTGTCCCACACAGCTATGTCTGTCATTTGCTACTTGGTCTAAGTCTCTCTCCCTCCTTTTACAGGAGAAGTGGAGGGAAAATAAGATTGAAGCACCTGGGGAAATGCTGAGTCCTGCCTGGACCGAGCAGCAGGAGCTGAGCCGCCCTCGACCGCGGACACGGGAGCAGCCTGTCCTCCCTCTGCTGTCTCTGCTCAATAAAATAACACTCAGCACCATGCTTTGGCTGGATTCTTTCTTCCATAAGACCCAGAAAAATGCTTTGATCTAGCCGTGCTGGAGCCTGATGTGTGGCTTTGCTCTCCTGAGCTGTTGCATCACCTCCTCCTGGGAAGAAAGGCGATTCCCACGGCTCCGTGGGCTGCGTCCTCCTGCCCCTACCAGCCACAGCTCCTCTGTCCCATCCCGCCTGGCAAATTGGCACATGCTGGGCAGCCAAAAACTGCTCCTGCCCGACTCTGCCCATCCCAGGGGGTGGGTGACAGCAGGAGCCTTGGTTCCCTTCCCAGCCTCCATAGCCGTGTTCCTTCTCTCTCCGGGGTTACTGTGGGAGGGTGATGGGAGAGCTGATGAACAGCGTGACTGCATATGCCTCATCTCCTTTGGAAAGCAGAGACAAGCGAGCTGAGGGTAGGGAATATTGCTCCATTTAAGCCTGCACCCAGGAGATGGCAGGTGGAGGCTGGTTTTAGGCAGAAGCTGCAAGGATCTTCTTACCAAATCAGTCTTTTCCCTTCTTTTCTCTTATAGAATGCTTTGTCTTGAAAACTGTGAACTCACCAGCGTTATTTTCCTGCTGCCAAGTGTCTTCGCATGCTAATAAAATTATATTTAGCAGAGAGCCAGATTGCATAAATTGTCAATAATTAAAAAAAAAATTCCCTGGAGCAGAAGAGCTGTGGGCTTACTCTCCCCTTCTCTAGGATAAATTCTCTCTGAATCATACACAGACCTTAATTTTCTAGGCATACATGTTTGCATTTATTTACAATTTTTAATACACATAGACTTCATTCCTTTCTTCACTTTTCACACTGCTGCCCTCTCTCTTCTTCACTCTGGCTGACAAATCCCTCTTTGTGCAAACACAAGAAAAGTAATTTTACGGTCTCTTTCACTGTGCAAAACTCTCACAGGGAAATACTTGTGGCATCCTCTTGTTAAAACATTGGCAGTAGATCAATGGGACAGCAGCACCTTCATGTTAAACACTTAGCTTTCAAAGGGAGCTTTAGATTTATCATGAGCCTCAGGGGTCAACATCTTTTGCAAGCACCTAAATGCTGAGCACCTAAACCTCTGGACCTTGTTTGGACAGAGTTTGAGCATTTGCCTCTCCTGCCACAATCCCAGCTTTGAACTCAACTGGGGCACAATGCCTTAAAAGAGAGACCTCAGCAAGGTGCTCAGCACACCTAATACCAGCTTCTCCTCTGGTAATCCACATAACCCAATTCTGATAAATGCTTTGTCATTTGGTAACTTCCCAGGCAGGCAGCCAGTGGCTGAGCTGCACAGGCAAAGCTTTGTTTTGGAGCTGTTTTGGAGCTTCTCTCCAACCAGCTGCCTTTGATCCTGATGTTTTCCCCATCCCAGCCTACTGCATTCTTGCAAAATCTGCCACCTCTTCTTTGAAGCAGACCAACCCTCTCTGTGGCCCAGTTGTACATCCTGGGCCCTTGTTTGCTTTTAAATTGAGATGTTTTGTTACCAAACTCGAGAGGACATCCAGAGCACAGGCAGGATTGAGGGGAGCAAGAGGCACAAGTGGTCCTGAAGAACACATTGGGAAAGTGCCTTTCCTTGCCAATCCTCCAGCTTGGAGCAACAGGATGACCTCCACGACTTCTCTGGCCATAGTTATCCTGTGATGATCCTGTTATATTGTGTGGCTGGAACAGCACCATGTTCAGAGGACAGGAGCAAAAAGACCCCATTTTTAGGATGGAAAATCACATTTTAATGAGAGAAGGGCAATGGTGCATCTTTAAGCCTGAGATGGCAATCAGTGACTCCAAAATTCTCACAGCATATTGCCATATCTAATCCTCTTAAATCTGGAGGCTGAGATAACAAAGACAGATCACAAAAGAACAGAAGTTGCAGAAGTTCATTGTTTAATAACTATCATTTACTTTGTTTTTTCAGAGAAAATAGCAAAAAAACACCTCCATACCCCGCAGACCCAACTACCATCTCTTCCACCTGTGCCAGGGAAGTGGAGAGTGGGAGTAATCTGCTTTGAGGAAATGACTTCCCTCGCTTGGGGACACTTCCCAAAATGTCCCCAGGAGAGGCCAAGAGAGGCAGAGCTCCAGCAAAACCCATTTCAGTTGTGATCCATCCTTGCAGCTGAAGGATGCACATGGTTCCAGCTAACTGGGGTGGAAGGGGTGCTTTGCTGGTGACAGGTGTGCTCACTCTTGGGTTTTGAAAGCTGGATTCACCTTCCCTGATGGATCCCTGGGATGGGGCAGCAGTGGCCACAGGATGTCCAGTCTGAACTCCCATCTGTGTCTGGCTGCCTCCCCAGAAACACGCACCAGAACAGCGATCAAACCTTCAGCCACTGCTTTTCCTCAGTTTTCTTCTTACACCTTTGAAATTGTGTTGGGTTTAGGTTGTTTTGTTGGGGTTTTTTTTGTGTTTTTGTTGTTTCTTTTTTTTTTTTTTTTTTTTTTTGACAGCTTTGGAAGGTGAGTGAGTCATGATACATTTGAGATCTCTCTTAGATAACATCTAAGATGATCATCTTCACAGCTCTTCCTCTCCCTGGGGAGGAAGGGGCAGGGAGCCACCCTTTGCAGTGGAATGAGGGCCAGGTTCTCCCCACACCTGCTAAAATACAACCAGGATGAAATCTGTGCGTGGTCTCAGCACCATTGCTCACAGCTGAGCACCCTCCCGTGCCAGGCCATGCCCATGGCAAAGGGAAGATGTTATTTCCCTCTCACAGCTTCACTCTGCTGGTGGTGCAGCTGATCTTTTATTGTGTCCAGGCTCTTGGCCCATTTAACTTGTGAGCTGAACTGCTTCCTCCTCCTCCCCCAGCACAGGCACGTGTCGCTGGCGCAACTCAGTTGGATCCTTTGCCCTACTTTTTTTCCCTTGACATTCACAGCGTTTGACAAGGCTTTTCAAGCTGCCATGGGATGATCCAAGGGTGGTGGTGCTGACTGCAGGGCTCCCACAGCCCGGCTGGGGAGGAAGCTCAGCACTTGGTTATCATTCCGGTTCACCCTCTTTTCCCAAAGAGGAGCAGGCTGGATCAGCTTGGGAAGGACTTTGGTCCAGCCGCCTGCTCAGGGCAGGGTTAGTGCCGAGATCTTATCAGGTTGCTCACAGGTTGCTCAGGGCTTTACCCAATGAAGCACCAAGAGCCCTCAAAGGTGGATGTGCAATCTTCTTGGGCTCTCTGTGCCAGGATTTGGCTGTCGCTATGGTAAAGAACTTTTCCCTTGTGTATCCAATTTCAACACCTTTTCTTTCAACTGTCTCATCTCCAAACCATGTACCACCATCAAGAGTCTGAATCCACCTGCTCAGGGACCTCCTTTTTTACTGGTCATTGCTGTTATAGCCCCCTGAAATCTTCTTCTGACCAGGCTGAGTGACCCCACCTCCCTCTGCCTCCTCTCACTGAGCAAATGCTCCAGCCCTCAACTCTCTTGGTGGTTTTTCACTTGAGTTTTACAATGCCTTTCTTATTTTGGGGCAGGGCCCAAAACTGAATAGTAGATGGGATCCTGAGCCATGGGGACAGAGAGAAGGATTGCTCAGGGAGCAGGTGGGACAGCTCTAGGGGTGTTTCAGGGCACTGCAAAGATGTAGATGGTGACATTTGCAGGGAGCAGCAGGAGGATGTCAGAGTGCATTGGGTCCCTCATGGATTAGAGAAAAGCTGAGCCTGCCCTGGGCTGAAAGGGCTGCCAGATGTTGGGAATCAGCCAACAATTCCCTCCATTCCTATCACAGCTGAAGGGCTTAAATATGAGACCGGGAAGGGATTTGTCTGTTTGCATGGACTACAGAGCAAAGAGAAGGTGAGGAGTTTGCTTAGTGGTCTGAGTGTGGTGTTTTTTGACACCAATACTCAGAGTTGGTGTGGGTTTTGTGGGTCTGTTGCTTGCTTTAGTGGGTGGGTTTGTGTTTTGTTGATTTTTTTTTTTAACCTGAAATAAACAGTGTAGTTTAAGAGCTTCTTACAGGAGCAGCTGCAGTAATTGTGTGTGGCATAGGTGTCCTATAAGGCAGCTCTAAAAATGCTAGAGAAGGCTTTGAAAATGTGGGAGACAAGGATCACCCCAATAGAGAAAGGAAGAATGGGGGAGGAATTAGGTTTAACCCCTATAGAAATGCAGGTGTCACAGAAAGAGCTGCTTGTCTCAAATCTCCAGATGAGGTGGTACTTCAAGGCACCTCTTTGGCTTTGTCACCCGTGGGGCAGTGAGGGACAAGGACTTCAGGAAGAAACTCAGTTCCTCAGGATTCTGGAGGCAGCAGGCCTTTGGCAGAGCTTTGATCAGGAGTTGAATGATAAGGTCAAAACTGAGCTTCTGCTGGGGCAGAGGGACCCTTTGAAGCTAAAATTGGTTAATTAATTGTGAGTGAACAGAAATGTTGCTGTCATGGCAGGGGCTGGCTCTGCCTCTTCTGGCCTTCCCAAGGAGTGTCGTGCCTTCCTTGGGCAGGGTGATTTTGGGAAGTCACCTGTGATAAAGCCATCCCTGCCTGGGAGCTGATGCAAACACATCCTCCTCTTCCAGACATGCCATAAATCCTTATGAACAGTTACACCAGGCCAGCGGGGGCTCCGATTTTGTCTGATCGTGGTGATGACCCGTTAGAAAGGAGCCAGGGGAGGCTGCGGGAGGGCACCTGCATCCCTTCCATCCCGCAGGATGCGCTGTGCCCGGGCATTGGGCTCCCTCTGGTGACCGCCGGGAGCCGGGAAAGGGCTCAGCTCCTGCTGGAGAGGAGCCCCAAAGTCCAACCTTTGGGAGAGGGTCACCCTGCCAAAACGAGCAAAATGCAGTTTTAGTGGTTGTAGGGCTCTGCTCGGGCAGGATCCATCACCTCCCATCAAGAAGCTCAGGCACAGGGCACGGCCTCGTTCATGTAAGGGGTAAAAGGGAATAATGAGTTCCTTGGCCTGGGAGTGCTCATCCCCTCTCTTCCCACAGGCATGGCTCACCTCTCCTGCACACCCTGCAGGATG